AGATGCTGTGGCGACTCTTGGGTGCACAAAGCATACGGGTTGCTTCTTCCCCTGACCGTAAACCTCTATTAAATGTTTTGACCACTTGGGGTGAGTGTAACAAACTGTAAAGCCAACATTAACACGTTTTGCCCATGTGGAGTCCCACTTTTCGCTCTGTTTTGGTCTCCACCACCTTCACAGGCAAAATCTTTCTCTTTAATTACTACAACTTTTGTGTTTAAACAACTGCCTGCTGCAGCTGTGAACAAGGCTGATGGGAAGGACGAAAACAGTGAAGGTGTGGCCCATTAATCCGAAACTATGAGCTAAGAGATGCTAAAACGGTTAACATCAGAGTCCTTTCTGGATTCTGGTATGAGTATGTCTTTGTCTATTGAGCTTAAGCCCTATTTGCATGGGATCTGTAGTGATTTCAAATAACTGTGGAGGTCATCTTCAATTTTAATCCCGTGTAAATCTGCCATGTCTGCAACTTGTAAGGTAAAAACAACCCCCACAGACTTCCTACTATGGTTCACCAAAGGTCTTGTGATAATAGTAGTTGTGTATAATTAGATTTTTTTACATTTCTTTATGCTTTATTCGCATCTTTCTTCTGCCTCTTTCCCGCTCGAGAATTACAGAGGCTGCACCGGCAATTATAAATGAAAGTTGGGAGCGTTTTGGGTGCACGTTTAGGAGGCTCATGCCGCTACGCAGCGTGGAGTCCAATTCACAGAAAGCTCAAATCCATCAAAGGAGTGAAATCTCTAAGGATCATTAAATGGATGACGTGACAGCGTGCACCAAGGAACAGTTTGCTGTCTTACAGGAACAGTTAGTGTGTGGAGGCCTATTAGTATCACATCTGCAGATAGTGTCAGCGAATTCAAATATCAAATAGGGCTTAAGTCATCTGTTTTTAAAATATAGATTAGAGCACCTTTTAGTAAAGTAGTTGCCCAAGCCTGAACTAGAGAGGCAGCAGATAAGAAAACGTATTTTCTTTTTTTTTTTTATGCCCCTTTTTTTTACGCTTTTTTTCTTCGTTTTAAGTTGGTTCCCCTTCCTTCTTTTGGTTTTTCTCTCTTTGCAGACACTCTAACATGGTATAGCAATAAAAAAAAGAGGTGTAACTAATAACAATAATGATGGCTCTGTTCCAAATGAGTTCCCAGATTCTGAAAACTGTCTCCCTGATATGGCTTTCGGGCACCACTAACAGTAAATGAAGCAAAGACATCATTAATGTTATTAGTCACACCTGGGCTTTTCCAGCTACGACAATATAAAACGTCTGCTGTGACAAAGACCTTTTTTCTTTGGTTTAGTCCCATTAAAAAGCAGACTTTTTTTCTTTTCTTTTTTTTTTTGTGCTCGTGTTATTAATCTGAATCATTTCCCTCAGATTTACCTCACTGATATTAATGCTTTAAAGGATTTTTAGCAACTTGTACGCACTGTGTGGACAACTCCAACATTCTGGTTCGCACTTATGGATTAATGAAAATCATTTGCATCAATTACGACAATCTAATTACGTATTAATCACAAAATTGCTCTGATTACACGGTAATGACGAGCCGCAATGCCGTTAATCACTGTGAAATTACATCATAAATTGAGTTGGTATTTGCTTTTTCTCCGGCGTATCTTATATTTTTTTTTCCACCATTGGTTTTCAGGTAGCAAGTGCATATAGTTTTTTTTTTTTTATTATTCAGAGGACTGTCAGGGACTTGCACACTCCTTTATTTGCTCTCTTGTGGAACTCACACGGGTTAAAGGAGGGGGGGAAAGGTAACAGTTTTATTAAACACTCACACACTCTCACACACAGACAACACGACCACGAGACGACCACGTAGAGCAGACAAGACAGGCTGTTTTTTTGGCAGACACAGACGGAGCACTGACAGAGACAGCAGGCACAAGCATCCAACACGAGACGCCTCCGAGGAAGGAGGAGCTGCTGCTGCTGCTGCTGCGGGGAACAGCGGCGGTGCAGCAGGCCCGCCGCTGTAGCCCCCCGCTCACACACATGTAGTAGAAGCCAGGTGAGGGGAGGGAGGGTTTTTTTTGTTGTTGTTTTTTTTAGCTTGAGACTTATGGGTGGAGAAGAAACAGCACATAAAATGGATGCCAATCATATCCATGCAGAAGCGAGGGGTAGTGGGAGGGTGTGTAGGTGGGAGAGGATAATTAGTTAGTCTATAGAGCTGCGGTACAGTCCAGTACAGTGTGCATGCCACAAATGCCTTCTACTTGGAGCAACAGATAGAATAGAAAAACAGATATACTTTGTGGCAATAAAAGTCTTTTTATGCCATCTGCATTCAAACAGACATGTATATGCAGAAAGGCTAAAAGAAAGAAGGTGGGTGAGTCGGGATGGAAGGGGGAGGAATGGGGTTGGGTGAGGGTGGTGGTGGGGGGGGTTAACGCTCGGAAGAAGGAGGAGGAAGAAGAGGGGAGGAGACGGGGAGTCATTCTTTCACACACAACTTTCTTGAGACAGAATGGGGTTGCCTGCACAAGGCCAAAAAAAGGATGATGGCAAGAAAAGATTTTGTTGCCGTTCATTTCCCTATGTTGTATCGAAAATGTAGGGAGGAGGAGGAGGAGGAGGAGGAGGGGAGGAGGATGTTTATTTAGAAGCCATATGGCACGAAAAAATAATAATAAAAAAAATATATATATCAACACAAAACTTGATGAGGAGGAGAACTTTGAATTTTCCAACCACCAAAAGTTCATGCGGCACAAGATGAGGCAAAAAACGGGAGGAGCGGCTCTATCCTTGCTTGGAGGATGGACGACGGATGATGAGGAGGAGGAGGACACCAAAGAAATAATAATAATAATAATCATAATAAAAAGAAATAAACAACTACCACAACGAAACAAGAAAATAAAAAAAATAAAAATAAAAAAAACCCCAAGTCAACCCACCCCCTCGGTCCCCAACGTAAAAATAAATAAAATAAAATAAAATAAATCAAAAGCTCAAATCTGAAACGACCCAGCAGCTGGGTCCAAATCGATACAGAAGAGAGATGTTCATATGTGCATCACAGGAGAAAAAAAACAAAAAAAAAACAAAACAAAATGCAACAGAAAAAACGTCATGTCATGCAACTGTTCATACGACTGGAAGCGGGGCAAGGAATGAGGATATGAATTTCTGTGTCAACATGGTGAAATGTACGGTATGTATGAGTGTGTATATGTTGCCACTATATGAGGGGAGGGTACCATGTTGTCTTAGTACAAAAAAACGTCTTGCACTACGCTTGGTTGCACTTTTTTTTTTTTGAGAATACTTGGGTTTGAGGTTTAAAAACAAAAACAAAACACATGAGCTGTAAAAAAATTGCCCATTCAATTTCAATAATCTCCGACTTAAGGAAGCAACTCGTGGCAGATAACGCACCTAAACGCTGCATGAACGCGCAGAGAAAATGGCTTTCTCTTCACATCAAAAAGCCATAAGCACAAGAACCTAAATGTGGTCATAATTTCAAGGAAACAAATGCTATTACAGTGTGATAAGGCTTCAAAGTAAATGAGTTCCTTTCGCAAGATTGGGGAAAAAAAAAACAAAACAACAACACTGTAAAATTACTGGGAGAGAGTATCTGCTGAAGTACACGGAAGGAAGGAACTCATTTCCGCCAGAAATAAATAAGCGCTTGATTTCTCTGTTGTGTTCTCCGCCCGCAGATAACGAAAAGTGAAAGGGCAGCGCATTGTCTCAGCCGAGGCTTGTTATTAGCCGCCGAAAAAAGTGGACATATGCTTGGTGTTAAGCTGAGCCGTGTTTAGCCAGATTAGCGCAGCATCAATTAGTCTCCTATGATGGTATTTTTGAAGGACAGTGAAGCAATCAAATAGCCGGAGCTGCTAATGATTTTCAGAGCGCCTAAGGGGAGCTTGCTTTTTCTAATACTGAGTCAGTTTCAATACCAGCCTCCTGGTTTTACTTCTCGTTATTAGGACGAGTGCCAGCTGCTCCTGGGCAGAAGCTTGACAGACAGCTGCTTATTCAAAAGTCGTCCAAAACCCAAGTTGCCTCAAAAATAACCACTCCTTTTAAATCTGCGGCATTATTTCCAGCTTTTTTTTTTCTCCCTCATATTCCACTGAGTGAATATCACTTTGATCTAATCACAAAGTGATACATGTGTGTGTTTTCTGTGTGTGTGTGTGTGTTTGCGTGTAAAGGGAGGAGGGAAGAGAGACGATGCGCACAGAAATTCGAGGATATCTGTTCTCTATTAGAATGTTTCAGGTAAGGCAAGCCTCCGACGAAGGAAACAGAGGTACAAACAAGAGAAGAAGAAGAAGGAAAAGGGAGGAAGAGGCTCTGTTGCAGTTAGTCTGCTACATATCACAGTATCTAGGCTGAAAGCATCTTTGTTCTCGAAAGAATCTCAAAATGTATCCTCTGTCAAGAGAGACGCACACACGCACAGCAAGAGGAAATCAACCAAGTACAGGACAGATACATTTTGAAGCATCAGTGCGGGCGACATGGGGCTTGATACTAATTTCGTACTTTGTTGAGTAAAGTTTTGCTCTCGATCGAATGCTGAGAGAACAAAATTAGTATCAACGCTTCGTCATGTCTGCAACCAGTGGCCCCATAGCTAAGTGTAACTTGTTTCAGAGATGGAAGCTTTAACAGGTCCTGTGTGGGTTGTTTTTTTTTAACGGTTAAAACTGTGACTTCCTCCAGAGAGCATGCTAAAGTTGAATAAACTTAATTCTTACTGCTTTCATCCATCTCCAAAGAGTTCTTTAAAAAAAAAACTTTTTGATATACACTGAGCAAATCCTCGCGCTAATGTATGTTTCTCACAGTGGCTACTACTTTTTTTTTCTTTTTTGAAGTTACACTTGAAGCTCCCATGGGACATGATGCTAAGAGGAGAAGCCTCCTCGGTAGCAAATCAAAGAAAGATAAGGAGAAATAAGACCAGGTTCAGAGCAAGCACAACTCGACACACTCATCCCACCTGTGTGTCCGGAGTCGCACTCTTCCAGGTCCTCGTCGTCGCTGGAGCACTCGGCCGACGAAACAATGTCATCTGTTGTCTGTTGGGGAAGAGACACATTCACACGCAACACAAACACAAACACAAACACACACACATGCACAGGAAAATGTGGTTAGGCCCGCTGCAGCATAGTGAGTCCTCAACTCAGCCATTCCATTCAAGGATATCTCTGCACGCACAGGCCTCTCCGCCTGTCCTTCGGCTTCCATATATCACTTGGAGTCAATCATATTTCACAGTGTTTATCATTCTTCACTTTATGTGCTTTCCACCTCCGCAGATAATTGTTTTCCTTCACCCTCCGCACTCTGCCTCCGACTATTTATCGCCCCTCTCCTCCTCCATCGTCCACAATCAATGGACCCACCAAGCCCACACAGATCAACGGCGTCCCGGCTTCTGATTTGTGCTAAAGGGTGCAGGAGGCGGAGGGGATGGGGAGGGACGGGGCGGCCGACTCGCTAGCTACACCCGGACCAGCGATGGATTATCTGCACCCTCCAGTTCCCACAATTCTGATTTATCCGCCCCCCCCTCCTCTACACCCCGCCCCGCCTCCCCTTCTCTTTCGGGTCGACCCATGGAGGACAGAGGGGGTGGAGGTTGTATTTCAGCAGCGGGTGCGCTGGGCAGCCGGCGTTTATTAGAATGAATCAGCGGGGCGATAAAATAAGCCCTGTCACCGAGCAGGGTTATGAAATCAGAGTGCTGATTGAGTTTTCCAGTCCCGGCCAAGGGTGTGGGGCACTAAATATCATTGAGTTTGACAGACTAATGAAACGCGCCCCCATGCTTGTGCCGCTTGCTTTTCAACGGAGGCCAAGAGAGAGCCGTCCACCTCGACCATATGCTGATGTGCATGTCCAAGCGAAACCTCACAGGGAGAAAGTTGATTTTTCGTCGCCTGTTCCCGACGCGCGCCATGATTACGCATGATGGGCTGTGTCATTTTCTGTATCAGTACATTTGATAATGTGCTAATGCGTGTTTGCGCCGCCGTGCATAATGCACCACATTATGTACTGTACTCCAGCGTGACAGGGCTCCCAAAAAAAATAAAGAAATAAAAAAATAAATAAACGAAGCAAGAGGGGAGGCTCTAAACTAAATTGCTGTAAAATATGGCCCCCTGGTAAACATGACATTATTTATTGAAGCCACATTACGGGCGTAAAAGTCTTGGTTATTGCTGAAAGAGGGTTATTGCTTGTTATTATGATAGCAGCAGATGTGGGAGGCAGGGACACAGAGAGGGAGAGAGAGAGAGAGAGATGAAAAACCCGAGCCACTTCAAAGTCTGTTCCAGCAATTTCAGCCCGAGACCATCTCGCCATAACCCAGCATCAACTGAAAACACTGCCTTTCTCTTGTCCATTCATGCTGCACTTCTCTGCAGCTGATGCCGACAGCATCTCAGCATGGCAAATGTGTTCGCTGCTCTGGATGCATCAACTTCGCAGAGCCTTCAGCTCCCGTCTTCAAAATACCAAATTTTTATCTGAATAAATCACCTTCATTTATTAGTACTGGAGCAAACCTACACAATTCTTCAATAAAATCATCAAATCAACACAACAGACAATTAAACACACGCGTCCTTGTCCCACCATCCACTTCGCTATGAAAATGTGACTGCTTGATTTGATTATTTTCCAACTGACTGTCAGCGTTCACCACCGAGGTGAGAAGGAAAAAGGGCTGCAGCACCAGATGTCAAATATTGAGCAAAGAACAGAGTCTGGAACATTTATATAACAGACACTTACAGATGGGCAACAAATAAGAGAAAAAAAAATAAAACCTGAATAAATAAGTGGAGGAAAAAACAACGAATGCAGATTCTTTCACTGAGATGCACGATATGGTACAATTACCATCCAAATGGAGGTCTGTGTTTAAAAGTGCTGAGCGGGGCCGAGTTGATTTTGATTTTCTATCAAGATGACAAGTGGAAAAGATTTAATTGACTTTGAAAGAGGGTTCGTTGTTGGGGCACAGATGGCAGGAGCTTCAGTCACAAAGACTGCTCTGCTGGCTTCAGTAGGAAAAATTACATTCAAGGGAAAGACTGCAGTAAAAAGGGTCTGAGATTATGGTCAGCATGATGCTCGTGCATTAGTTTAAGGAGAAACGAAGCAGGATGTGATCAGACAGAAAGGGATGTTACAGCAGAGTTGAAGAAACCTCTTTGCAAATTTGAGAGTTTAGTGGTGGAAAACAAACCTCTTCTACAGAAATGTGGGAAAAAATGATTCATCCTGATGTGTAATCCTTTAACATATCCTCCACAAGTGCAAACACCAAGAGAACAGTACAGGCCTGAATGCTTGACCTCAACAGTGAGGGGATCTGGTGGTTCTATTATGCTATGGGGGGCATTTCTCTGGCATGTTTTGGCTCTTAGCAAATCAATACAAAGTGACTACCTTCATGCAATGATTATACATTTCCATCCTAATCTCTTGGTCTGATCTCTTTCAGGATGACGATGCCTTAAACCACAGGGCGTACGGGGTCACTGGATGGTTTGATGAAAATGACGTGAATCAAATGTTAT